TCATTGGTATGGGGCTCCATGACATCAGGGATCCAGGATTCTTCTATCTTTTTGCTGCCATCTTCAATACATGGCTTCCACCTCATGGTGTGGAATCTAGCTTCCTGTCTGTCTTCCATCCATCAGGAAGAAGCAATGGTGAAAGTTCCCCTTTCCTAAGGGATACATTCCAGAGGTTTATATAGGACACCTCTGCTCAAACTCTATTGTCCAGAATTTAGTCATATAACCACTAAAACCTGCGAGGGAGGCTGGGAAATATATCTTTATTTCAGAAATCCATAGGTCTATCTATTTATTACTATATAGGAAAGGGAGATCTGATATTAGGAAACAAGAAGTTTCTTCCACAGGGTGTCTGTAGAGGAATTCTAGGGGTCTTACAGGTGATTGGATATAAGAGACTTAAGGGAAAAAAAATCAGCTCTGGAAATAAATATTTGAAAGCTTATAAATGTTAGTTACAATTTTGGGAGGGGATGAGATGGGCCAGCAAGAGCATAGAGTGAGAAGAAAATGTCAAGGAGAGACTTGTAGGGGAACTTCAGAGTTTAATTATACAGGGAAGGCTCCACCAGGGCCCTGAGAAGAAACGGTGAGGCTGTTAGATGGGCACCCAGGACAAGTTTTAAGGAGAGAGAGGTCAACAGTGTACAGGCAGAAGAGATGCCAATTAAGGTAAAGAACTGGTCTTTAAAAATGTGAGAAATTGTGACTGTCATGTATTATAATCATAGGTTACCTCAAATCTTTTTCTGGAAGAAGACCTGTGTGACTGAATGACCTTCTAGAACCTGAAATGTGTGTAGATCCCAGTGTAAGGATGTTATAGTTAACTTAGGTTCAGGGCTGGTGAAAGACACAGCTCCCCTCCTCTCCTCTGTGAAGGACAGGGTCACATCTTCACAGTGAGGTCACTTATCATCTTCGTCACTATGGTCAGGTGGCTGGGGACCATAGGAGGCCCTGGAATAGAAGATGGAACCCAGCCAGAAGGCTCAAGGGACTAAGGGTTTAACTTTTGCCTTTTGTCTGGTTCTAGGGAAGGAATCAAGATGGACACAGAAGTGGACTTACACATGTGCACTAAGAGATAGGCAAGGGCATGTTAACTGAAGTACTGTTTGTGATAAAGACTGGATACACCCAAGTGCCCATCAACTGGAGAGAGGATAAATAAATTGCTCTGTAGTCATTCAATGACTTCTATTTGGCAGATGAAATGAATAAGCTAGAGCTCTGTGTATCAACACATGTAAAAACAATGTTGAGTGAAAACAAAGCATGTTGCAGCATTAAAGTAGCTATGTAGATTTAAAAACCACATAAAGTAATGCTATACTTTTTTTAATGTAAACATATAAATATAGTTTAGGTACAAAACATGGACTGGAAGGGCACTTACCAAATTCATGGTAGTGGTTGTCTCTGGGGAGGGCGGGGGATAGGACTGAGAAGGATAACCAAGGGGATTTCAACTTTATCTATTTTGTTCTAGTTCTCTTATTAAGAAATACTTGAAGCATATGAAACGGTGGTCAATTTAATTACTTATTAGGGAAATGTAAATTAAAGCCACAGGAAGAAGAAAAAGAACCGCAGTCAGATACCAGTACACAGTCACCAGAATGGCTAAAATTAACAAGTCTAATAATATCTCATATTGACACAAATATGGAGCAACTGGAATTCTTACACATTGCTGGGAGCGTAGATTCATTCAACTACTTCGGAAAACTGTTTGGCAGTATCTTCAAAAGCTAAACATATTCCTATACGGTGATTCTGAAATTCCACTCCTAGGTATAAACCCAAGAGAAGTGAGTATTTATGTGCACCAAAAGAAATGTACAAGGCTGCTCATGGCAGCTTTATTTATGTTAGCCAATGACTAGAGATAATCAAACCAATTTAGTTATTCCACTTGTAGATATATATCCTAGAGACTCTTAATCATGCACACAAGGAGACAGGTGCAAGAATACTCATTGCAGCACTATTTACAGTAGCAACAGCAACGAGAACAACAACAACAACAACAAAATAACTCAAACGTCCACCAGTAGGAGGATGGATTAATACTGCAACAACATAGATGAATCTCATGGACTTTATGTTGAGCAAAAGAGCCAGACATAAAAGAATACATGCAGTATGATTTTGTTTAAGGAGTTTTCGAATTGGCAAAACTAATTCCAAAGTCACAGAATTCAGAATAGGAGTTACCATAGGGGTTACTTATGGGAACTATTGACTGGAAAATGGCATAGAGATCCTTCTGGGGTGATGATAAAATACTACACCTTGATCTGGATGGTAATTACACAGATGTACACATAGGTAAAAACTTACCAAACCGTACACTAATATTTGTGTACTTTATTGTATGTAAGTTATACCTCCAAAAATATCTGAAGCAAAAATAACAAAACGTTAACATATGTTAATTCTCAGTGGTGGGTACACAGAGTGCTATTACCTAATTCTCTATATTTTCCTGTATATTAAAATTATATTTATAATTAGGAAAGAGAGAGAGAGCAGTAGTCCTCCATAACCAAAGTGACACCCATCCTAGAAGAGGTGACACTTGGAGTTGGGTCCCCTGGCCCAGCCATCTCCAATGCTTGGGTGGGTTCCCTTACAACGGGGAGCAGATGACAATAACCGACCAATCTCTTTTGGTGAAGACAACGTTATCTTCATTGTCACTCTCGGTAAGCTGACATGGCTGCTAAAAAGTGGGGCTGTTTTGTAGGCTCTTTTGAAGATCAGCTTAGCTGATTCTTTAGTTGACAGGGACCCTGAGCCATCACGCAAGAGCTGCGCTGGGGTGTCCACCACCCCGCACCCCAGCCTGGCCAAGGAGGGACAGCTGCATTTGGAAGGCAGCTCCTGGGTCTCAGCTCCCAGACTGGCTGCTGCTCTGTGAGCCCAGGGCATCACCAGTGGATGCAAAAGCAAGTCAAAGAGCATGAGGGAGGGAAAGAGAGAAAAAAAGAATTTAAAAGGGAGGTGGGAAAATGAAGGAAAAAAGAGTACAATGAAAGATGCACCTGCCTTGCATTGTTGCTTCAAGGACCCGAGTTATCGGCTCCCTTGTTTGGAGCCTCTTCCTCCTGTCTGCTCAGTTCTCCACCTTACACTGTGGAGGAAGGCGGGGTGTGAAGCCCATGGTGGCTCTGAACCAGACAGACCTGCCTTTCCATCACTACCTGCCTGGCATGCTGCTGAACCTCTCTGCGCTGTTTCCTCACCTGTAAAACAGAAGCGGTAACTCCACCTCTCAGGGTTGCTGTGGGGCTGGAAACGGTGCACGCCAAGACCTGACCTAGGAGGCCCTTGATAACCCGGGTAAGATGCCTCACTTCCCTCTGAGGCCGGTTCTGAGGGTCAGAGACCCTGGCAGCGTTGTCCAATAGAACTTTGAGGATGATGGCTGTTGATATGTGTCTAGGGGGACTGAGGGACTGAGCTTTTCATTTTATCCTATTTCAATTGCTTTACATTTAAATAGCCACCTGTGGTGGGTGGCTACCGCATTGGGCAGTGCAACGGGAGTTATTCACAGCCACAACTGTCCCCTGCCAGGCGGCTAGACAGGGTGGCTCATCAGCGTGGACACTGAGAGGCGCCGCGCACGCGCTGCATCTACGCAGTCATTTCTTCCCCTAACAAACTCCTCCGAATAAAGCCGGGGCTGGTGTGAACGCCCAGGACTGTGGTCGGGCCCCGGGCTCCGGGATGGGAGCAGTTAAGGTTCGTGAGCGCGTGGACTCCACCGATGTCTGTCCCTCTCGCCCTCCATCGTCTCCACTCTGTCCGCCCTCAACCCTTAAGTCCCTGGGAGAATGGAGTGGGGACGCGAGGAAGACGCCCTCTGCGTCTGGACACCCACTGCTTTCGGCTACTTTATTCTTCGCAGCAAACGCGGGAGGTTCAGCATTTCCATTTCACAGATGAGGAAACTGAGGCTGGAGGAGGTGAAGGGCACAGGGCGGGAAGCAGCGGAGCTCCAGCCGAACCGTCAACTCCTCGGGGCTCTGGTGACGCCAAAGGCACTTTCGTGGGTCGGGTTGTCAGGGCGCGCGGGGACAGCGGGTAAATATTTGGGGCTGTAACCCGGGCTCCGGCAACTCCTCGTCACCGCGGTTCCCCGGCGGGCGCGTGGCGAGGGCGGTGCCCGGGACACAGGGACGTCCCCGGCGGGCGGCTGGGGCAGGC